TCCTTCCAACTACATTCCATGACTTTCTCCCAAAACAAGTTTGGGAAGCACTTATAGAGATCAGTAAGTTTTTCAGGGCCTATGTTCTCCAACTATTCGTGTTACAGATATGGAGATTTGGCATACAAAGATTGTAGAAACAATATGCCCACCTGAAAGAATCTTCCCTCTTTTTTTTGCTTCAATGGAGAATCTAGCAATCCACATTCCATATGAAGCCAAGGTGGGAACGCAATTCCATTGGATGTATCCATTTGAGAGATATTATTAGAATATCTAATTATTTAATATTTTATATCTATAATATAAAACATAATTTACTTTTTAATTTATTAATTATTTAAATTGATTTTTCATGAATTAGACGAATGCATGGATTGAAAGGTTCGGTGAAAAATAAAACTCGTCCAGAAGGATCAATATGCGAGAATTACATAATGAGTGAGATCTCATACTTTATCTCGTTTTATTTTGAAGGAGAAGTTGAGACAAAAGGTGATCGTATCCCCAGAAATCTTGTTGGCCTAGGCCTTTCTGTTAATATTGGCATTTCAATGTTCAATAATCCTAGAAAACCAATTGATTCTCTACAACAACAGTGAGTATTGACAACAAAGGAGCTAATACTGTAATGTATTATGTTCTAATGAATTGTGAAGAACTAAAGAGATGGATTGAGTGAGTGCATTTCCCTAATCCTTATCCTTAACGATAGTTGAGAAAAATGAATTGTTTGAATTTACACATAATTATAAGGGATGCTTGATTAGGGTTTTCGAAGATGAAGAATGTCAAAATATGATTCCCCAACAAATACAGATGAAACATTCCAATTATCCTGTGTCATGATTTGAAAAATCGGTAAGTTCAATCTTTAATTTTAATTATTATTAATTAATTAATTATTATATACTTATAACTAATAAAATAACTCATGTGATATATGTTTTACTTGATGAGTTTGAGGGCATTGATGAGCATTTGATTGGTTTGACTCGTGGCCTTCTTGGATAGTTCTATGCTATAAAAGCTTTTGGGTTAACGGTTTTCGATTTCACATTGCCTTATATGGAAAAAAAAAAAAAACAAGAAAACAATGAATAGCGGTGTACATGTCACAAAAACCACAGGAACATAATTAGATTTGGATTTTTATGGGTTATTGTAGGAAGTGATTAAGCTTCAATATGTTGACTCTAGACATCAACAGATGGTTGTTTGATTTAAATGTGATTGGTATAAAAGTCATTCTGCATGAGGAATTGTAGTTGATCGAAAACACCGCCTTGGTGATATTAATCCAAATAGAAAACTGAGAGCATTTTATCTTAGCAAGTCAAGCTAAACAGGTGTATTACACTTCATATCCATCACATAATTCTGCTAGAAAAGGATGGGTTGCTGCATTGAAATGTTGGGCAAGAAGTATTATTGAGATGCTAGATCAGCAAGAGGAACAACATGACGATCCAAAACCTATTTTTCAGGATGATAACCCTCTAGCTCCCCAACAAACCCAGTTAGATCCCATATCATATGTGAACCTATTCAACATATTGATGGGACTGTAACTGCCATCAATGTAGAATTGAGGATGTGGATGATGATAGAGAAATTGAGGAAAACGATAAGCAGGAAGAAGAGTTTGAAGATTATTATACATCTCAGAAAGAAAATATTAAATATATTTCTGAGAGTAATAGTAGTGATTAATTAATTAGTGACATAATGGACTTTGTCATTATCTAATAGTGTATGTATATGATATTTTATAATACATTGGCTGATATGTAAATGGCTTGACATAAAAAAGAATTTAATGTGATGTTTATTAATATGTATAAACTATTGTCTTTAAATTTCATGTTCTTTTTTTTTTTTTTTGAGTTTAAATCTAATGCACTTTTTTTCAATCATCTACTAATGTAGTATTTTTTATTTTTTTTTTCTTTGTAGTGAATTGCATACCTGGAGCTTGTACGACTGATAAGGTCATTGATGTTGCTTCCCAAAGGCTGATAAGGAAAAATCAATCACAAGCAATTGGGTCTTCAAGTACCATTGTCAGGGAGACCCAAAGGGAGACATGTGGTAATGGCAGTAATACTGACTCTAGTGCATTCTCACCTCCTTAACCCAAAAAAGGGTGAGGCATTGCAAAAACCCAAAAAATGCCAGAGGATCCTTCCCAAAAGCTGAGCTTTGGGATATGGCATGGGAAGACATTACCGAAAACGGTTCAAAAGGATATTTCAATCATCCTTAAGTCAAATATGTGTGATGCATACACAGGGTGGGGCTCAATTTCTCGTGAGCATAAGAAAGTGTACTGGTAGGCTTTTTGGGTTTGTAATTTATAATGACATGTTTTTATTTATATATGTCCATTTTCTTATATGAATCAATTAATATATGAATATATTATACTTATATATATATTTTCAGAATAGGTACGAGTGGGACCTTGCTAAGAAAGGTGCTGTACATACAACATTTATACATTTTTGTGGGAAACGATATAACCAGATGATGACTGATATCTAGACTTCATGTAGAAAAAAGAATTTTACAGAAAAAAAGCCATACATGTCTAATGAGGTTTGGGAGAAGCTAAAGTACATATGGATGGAAGACCCGCAATTCAATGCATGTAGAAAGCAAGCAAAGCAAAATTGAGCCAAAAGCCCCAGGGTAACCCACACATGTCGATCTATGGATTATAATGATGACTTTGTACAAAAATTGATAAAAATGTTACCTTGATCTTTAGGTTTCATATCATAATTTATAATAATTAATCTTAATGTTAATTGCAATGTTTGTGTGAATTAACACAATAATTGAATATGTGATATTGCAGAAAGAAAAATATCCTGAATATAGGGCTTCATCATTCGTTAATGTGATTCGTGCAAAAAAAATGCATCATCCAAAGGGCAAAGATAAAATGTCAATGATAAAATGTTAACATATATTGATGAGCAGACTCGAGACCACACTGTAAGTATTATTTCTTTCATTTTTATTTATATTAAAGAATTATTGAAATTAAGTGAAATCATATTGAATTTTTATTTTATTGAATATTATAGTTTGAAATATATATATATATATATGATTGAATGTATTTTTATATTTGTTTACAGGGGAAAGTACAATTTTTAGGGAAAACTTTGTTGAATTTTTTTTTTTATAAATTTATCATGAATTGTAAAAATTTAAATAATTTTATTATGATATTTACAATTATATTGAGCTTTTAATCAAGATTAAGTAGGGGAATTAATAAAAATTGTATAGATATATTAAATAAAGAAGAAGGTGCCAAGCTAGTTGGTACTTCATGTCCAATAAGTGGTTCAAATTATATGATTTTGTGGGGCTGAAATTGAATTAGATTTGAACACATATATATGAATTTAAAAAAAGAAAAAAAAAAAGAAAAAAGAGAGACCTCTTGGATTAGCTAGGTTCGATCTTGATTAGCTATTGATTTCCTCAAAATATTCTATTTTTGTCAACAAAGCCTATGAAGTTTGTTTTCTTGAGATGTTTAAATTTCAAGAGAATCCCATTTATCCATCCAATCTTATTCAATATCATAGCTAGAAAAAAATATATGGTTAAATGTATTTTTATGCTTTATTTACAAGAGGAAAGCCGAGATTTTAGGGAAAATTTTGTAGAATTTTTCATAAATTTAATTCTAATGATTTGCAATATTTTAAGTAATTTTATTATATTGTATATAATTATATTAAGTATCATGGTTGCAAGTATATGATTGAGTATATAATGTTTTTATACTTTATTAAATGATATAATAAGTATGTTATATAAATAATTACAGGAACAATTAATTGCAGAGACCATTCAAAAATATGGGAAAGACACAATTGCATGGCCAACAATAGTTGATGTCCAACTTTTGTCCCAAACTTCAGCTAGTCTTTCTAAGGATGGGTTACTTTATGGAATGCCCATTTACATGGACATTGCTGAGCAAGGGGTTTCACACCATAAGCGTCCTCCACATACCTTACCTGATAGTTCTGTTCCATCATCCAACATGTGGTGCAATTATAACAGACTGTAACAGAACTGCAAGAGAATCAACTGACATTACAAGAGAAGGTTAACAGGGTGGAGAGGATGTCTTTCATGATGCAGGGAGGAGAAGAAGTTGGGACAAGCATGGGAGTGTAATTGCCTTTCTTGTAAGTTGATCTTTGTGTTAAAAACATCTTTTATTAAGACATATATGACAATCTCTACATGTATGAGTACGTAGGACATAATATTTTAATTACTATTTCAGGACATAATATTGTTCCCTAATGATATTATGTCAAGTTTTATATTTATGTGTTTGTAGATGAACATTTTACTTAGATGTTCTAATATATATTTATGTGTTTGTAGATAAACTTTTTAATTAGATGTTTTAATATATATGTAGCAGCTTAATTATAAATTAATAGACTTGTTGTTGCATTACTTACTAATTTTAGATAAAAACAAATTAGAAACAGAGAAAGCAAAAAAAAAAAAATGTAAAATCTAGAAATATAGCAACATGTAGATTAATTGAGAGAGGGCGCTTTACACTGCCTATATCAACATATTTCGATCAGTATAACTGACCGAAATATAATCAAATAGATATATATTATTCGGTCAAAATGTATGACCAAAATATTCATTAATTTGGTCCAATATTCTAACCGAATAATTATTCTTAAACCCAAAAAAAAAACTTAATGTTCAATTCAATCAAAATATTTGATCGAAAACTAACTACAACTACTTTGGTCATTCATATTGACTAAACTAAGAGTTTAAAAAAAAAACCCTTGAAAATTCACGAATTTTTTTGAATTTCCCAC